CTCAGATCTCAGCCTCCTAAGTAGCTAGTTAGGGCTATAGGCATGAACCACGGACATTAGGCCAGAGAACACTTGTTTTTTGGTAGTACTAGAGTTTGAACTCAGGGCTTCATACTTACTTGGCTGGCACTCTACCACTTGAACCATGCCCCAGTACACAGACTAGTTAAATCATAGCTAGAAGGTATAATTTCTAGTTCATTCCATTTCTTTTCTTTTTTTTTTTTTTGTCAGTTGTGGGGCTTGAACTCTGGGCCTGGACGCTGTCCCTCAGCTCTTCAACTCAAGGCTAGTGCTCTACCACTGTAGCCACAGTGCTCTACCACTGTAGCCACAGTACCGCTTCTAGTTTTCTGATGGTTAATTGGAGATAAGTTTCTCACCAACTTTCCTGCCCAGGCTGGCTTTGAATGGCTATCCTCAGATCTCAGCCTCCTGTGTAGGATTACAGGCGTGAGCCATTGGCACCCAGCTGAGAGGTTCAGCTTATTGGCACTCAGGATTAATTTTTTAAAAAGCTACATACATCTTGATAAAATTCTTGAACTTCATGGGTAAAGGGAGAAATGTCCAAGGTTGGTGCGTGTGTGTGTGTGTGTGTGTGTGTGTGTGTGTGTGTGTGTGTACATAGGCACAGGCGCACCTCCTAGGGCTTGAACTCAGGGCCTGGGTACTGTCGAGCTTTGGTGCTCATGGCTAGTACTTTACCACTTGGAGCCACAGTGCCATTTCTCCTCCTTTGGTGGTTAACTGGAGATGAGTATCAGAGACTTTATTGCCTGGGCTGGCTTTAAACTTTGATACTCAGATCACAGCCTCCTAAATAGCTAGTATTACAGATTTGAGCCACTGATGCCTGGCCTTCTTAGCTTTTTTTTCTCTCAAGGCTAGCACTATACCATTTGAGCCACAGCTGGTTAGTTGGAGGTGAGAATCTCACAGATTTTCCTGTCCTGACTTCAAAGTGTGATTCTCAGATATTATAGCCTCCTTAGTAGCTAGGATTACAGAGTGAACCAGTGATGCCTGGCTGTGTCCAAGGAGGAGGCTATTTTTTCTTAAAGGAAACAAACAACTAGCATAAGAATTCTCATTTGCTTCTAATCTCAGGCAAAATGTTCCTCATGTTTCAAGCAAAATGCTCAGAGTATCTACCACTCATGTTGCCCTAGCTGAGGAAAATATTCAAAAGTTCTCTGAGTAGTTGATAATTTTGTTAGAAAAGTGATTATAATACTGGATAGATGATAAGTATAATAATAATAATAACTATTACTATTATTATTTTTTTGCCAGTCCTGGGACTTGAACTCAGGCCTGGGCACTGTCCCTGAGCTGCTTTTGCTCGAGGCTAGCATTCTACCACTTGAGCCATAGTGCCACTTCTGGCTTTTTCTGTTTATGTGGAACTGAGGAATTGAACCCAGGACCTTATGCATGCAAGGCAAGCATTCTACCACTGAGCTACCTTCCCAGCCCTCTCTAAGCATTTTTGCTCAAGTAGTGATCTCCACTTGAGCCATAGCTTCAATTCCAACGTTTTGGTACTTAATTGGAGATAAGAATCTCATGTAGTCAAGTGCTGGTGGCTTACGTCTGTAATCCTAGCTACTCAGGAGGCTGAGATCTGGGGATCATGGTTCAAAGCTAGCCCAAGCAAGAAGTCCATGAAACTCTTTTTATTATTTTTTTTTTTGTCGGTCGTGGGGCTTGAACTCTGGGCCTGGGTGTTGTCCCTCAGCTCTTCAGCTCAAGGCGAGCGCTCTACCACTTGAGCTACAGCGCCACTTTCGGTTTTCTGGTGGTTTATTGGAGATAGGAGTCTCACGGTCTCTCCTGCCCGGGCTGGCTTTGAACCACGATCCTCAGATCTCAGCCTCCTGAGTAGCTAGGATTACAGGCGTGAGCCACCAGCACCCTGCTCCATGAAACTCTTATCTCCAATAAACCACTCAGAAAACCAGAAATGGCTCTGTGGCTCAATTGGTAGAACTCTGGCTTTGAGGTTAAGAGCTGAGGGACAACACCCAGGCCTGGAGTTCAAGCCTCATGGCTGACAAAAAAAAAAAAAAAAAGGACTCTCATGGACTTTCCTGCTGGCTTGGAACCATAATCCTCATATCTCAGCCTCCTGAGTAACTAGGTTAACAATCTCCTGGTAGCAGTAGGAGTTCTTCTAGCCCCACTACAGTGACAGCTACACACACACACACACACACACACACACACACACACATACACAAAAGTTAATAATGTAGTACAATCTAAATGCTATAGATTAACTATGGTTTAATCATTCAGCAAACATTTTGGGTGTTTGGGTGTTCAACTCAGCACAAAAGACATAAGGAAACTCATAAGCAACTCTTAGAACTAGCAGTATAGGGCTGGGAAGGTGGCTCAGTGGTAGAGCACTTGCCTTGCATGCATGAGGCCCTGGGTTCGATTCCTCAGCACCACATAAGCAAAAAGAAAAAAGCCGGAAGTGGTGCTGTGGCTCAAGTGGTAGAGTGCTAGCCTTGAGCTGAAGAGCTGAGGGACAGCGCCCAGGCCCAGAGTTCAGGCCCCACTACTGGACCCAAAAAAAAAAAGAACTAGCAGTATAATGTCAATGGGATAAGAAATACTTAGTGCAAATGTTTGGAAAGAGTGTTCAAATAGGATGTATACCAAGATCTGGGCATGGGTAAATGGGAAAGAGGAAGAAAACCTTCAATTTCTAACATTTTCTAAGGATTTCTAAGTGAGCAAGTAAAAAGTTTTGGACTTTTTTTTTGTCTGTTCCAAGGCTTGCTCTGGGCCTGGGTACTGTCCCTGAGCTTCTTTTGCTCAAGGCTAATACTCTGTCACTTGAGCCACAGTTTCACTTCCATCATTTTCTGTGATTTAATTGCAGATGAATCTCATAGACTTTCTTGCTTGGGCTGGCTTCAAACCATGATCCTCAGATCTCAGCCTCCTAAGTAGGATTACAGATGTGAGCTACCAGTGCTGCTTGACTTCATTTTAATGAACTACTAAAGATAAAATGCAGCTGGGTTTATTGGCACAAAAACTCAGGTGAGCAAGGCAATGGGATTGTGAGTTCTTGGCCAGCTTCAGCTACATGAAGAGATCCTGACTCAATTTTTTTTTTTTTCTCTTGTCAGTGGTGGGGCTTGAACTCTGGGCCTGGGCACTGTCCCTCAGCTCTTCAGCTCAAGGCTAGCACTCTACCACTTGAGCCACAGCGCACTTCCACTTTTCTGAGTGGTTTAATAAAGGAGATAAGAGTATCATCAACTTCCCTGTCGGGGCTGGCTTTGAAGCATGATCCTCAGATCTCAGCCTCCTGAGTAGCTAGGATTACAGGTGTGAGCCACTGGCGCCTGGCTCAAAAAATTTTTAAAAGATAAGATGAATAAAAACAGAAGTAATGGGCTGGGAATGTGGCTTAGTGGTAGATTGTTTGCCTAGCATGCATGAAGGCCTGGGTTCAATTCCTTAATACCACATAAACAGAAAAAGCCAGAAGTAGTGCTGTGGCTCCAGTGGTAGAGTGTTAGCCTTGAGCAAAAGAAGCTCAACGACAGTGCCAAGGCCCTGAGTTCAAGCCCCAGGACTGGCAAAAAAAAAAAAATAATAAAGGGGAAAATTTAAGTTAAAGAAGGGAAAATATAGAAAAAGAAGTACAAAATATACTTTTTTTTTCTTTTTGGTCAGTTATGGGGCTTGAACTCTGGGCCTGGGTGTTATCTCTCAGCTCTTCAGCTCAAGGCTAGCACTCTACCACTTGAGCCACAGCACCACTTCTGGTTTTCTGAGTGGTATATTGTAGATAAGAGTCTCACAGGGCTGGGAAGGTGGCTCAGTGGTAGAGTGCTTGCCTTGCATGCATGAGGCCCTGGGTTCGATTCCTCAGCACCACATGAGCAAAAAGAAAAAAGCCGGAAGTGGCGCTGTGGCTCAAGTGGTAGAGTGCTAGCCTTGAGCTGAAGAGCTGAGGGACAGTGCCCAGACCCAGAGTTCAGGCCCCACGACCGGACCCAAAAAAAAAAAAAAAAGTCTCACAGACTTTCCTGCCGGAGCTGGCCTTGAATGGCAATCCTCAGATCTCAGCCTCCTGAGTAGCCAGGATTACAGGCATGAGCTACTAACGCCTGGCCAATATTCTATTTTTTGAAGGCATAAAACAGCAAAATGCAGGGTGGGGAACTCTTTTTTCCTGCCAAGAGCCATTTGCAAATTTGTAACATTCTCTGGTCATATAAAATTATTGATATAGGCAGAAGGCTGGCTGGGGAGAAACATGAATGTGCCTCATCTACCAAATAATTTCCCATGATTTCATGTTCTCTGCTCTTGGCCAGTTCCACCCATGGTTCTCGTGATTTATTTTTTTTTCTTTAGAAAGTTTTTTCTCTTTATCCTGTAAGATCATGCAAATATTGTTGTGTTTTTTTTTTAAATTTATTTTGCTAGTCTTGGGGCTTGAACTTAGGGCCTAGACACTGGCCCTGAGCTTCTTTTGCTCAAGGATGGCACTCTACCACTTGAGCCACAGCACCACTTTCGGCTTTTTCTATTTCTGTGGCACTAAGGAATCGAACCTGGGGCTTCATGTGTGCGAGGCAAACTCTCTACCTATAAGCTACATTCCCAGCCCGCAAATGTAATTTTATCCATGATTCGTTCATTTATTTAACATAAAAAAAACGAGATCTGTTCACCGTCAAGATCCCCAGGATAGAAAAGACTAAGCTTACAAACTAGGATTCAGCTGGCATCTATGCCACAGGCATATGTGGACTCATGAATGGCTTCTGCAAGGCAGATAGCGTCTTCATCTAGGAGATGAACTTGAGTTAATGTGTGACTGAATTCAGGCCTGACCCGAGTCTGTCCTGATCAGGAAGGATTCAGGGAGGGCGCAAGCACCTGGCAGGTCCAACGGGCTTGGAGCCCTGTCAGCGAGCCAAGGCCGGAGGCGCAGTCTCCTTAAGACCTGGGGGAAGCTGCTAGCAGGTGCAGGTTTTCAGGCCCATTAGCCGGAGGTCTGGGTCCCGCGCAGACTGGCGTCTGTCAGTCAGGCGCCGCGAGTGAGTCGGGCAGGGGGCTGCTGGGCGCGGCGTCCCCTCCGGCTGAGGACAGTCGGTTGGCGGGAGCGCGCGGGAGTCCGCGGGGACGCGCAGCGCTGTGAGGCCTGCGCGCCAGGCTGCGGAAGCCATGCGGCGGACACGGGCCGCCGAAGCCTCCCAGCTGCGGGAAACCAAGCGTTCGGGGTCGTCTGGAGCCACCGTGACTGCCGTTCCGGCCCCGGGCGACAGCCGTTCGAGGCGCTCCAGCAGCAGGGCCGGGGGCAGGAAACAGACCGCCAGCAGACAGCCGTCGGCGAAGCGGCGGCCGAAGGTGCCGCCGCCGCGGGCCCAGGAGACGGGCTGCGAGGAGCCTCCGCCGCCCGCGGAACTCGCGCCGCTCCCGCCGCCGCCGCCCCCGACCCCGGCGACCCCGACGTCCTCAGTGTCCACGCTCGACCTGGGCGAGCAGCGGGAGCGCTGGGAGACGTTCCAGAAGCGGCAGAAGCTCAACTTCGAGGGCGCCGCCAAGCTCCTCCTGGACACCTTGTGAGTGCGGTGGGGCCACCCGACACCCCCGCGCCGCGTGGGGCTGCGGGTGCCTTCGGCCTCTGCGCCGGGGTAGATGCAGGTCCGCTTGGTACGAGCTTGGTCCCGGAATGCCCAGGGATGCCCGGGGCGCAGGGGCTTCGCGCGGAGCTCGCCGAGGGCGCGTGCTTGGGACGGTTTTGTTTTTTGTTCTAAGGCGCGGTGGGGGTCGTGACAGAGACGGGAACTGGGGTTCCCCGTGAAAAAGGTGTTAAGCCCGCCATCTCCCGCATTCTCGAATTTAGGAGTTTGGGCAAAGGGGAGCCGACCGGGGGAGAGACAGGGTGTTATTGTTGTGGGCAGTCTCTCCGGGGGCCGCGAGGCACCGGGGGAAGCGCGCGAAAAGCGGGGGATGCGAGGATCAGGCTTTGGTTTTCCACTGTCTCCGGCGCTCCCTGCTCTCTTCTGTGTTCTTCCATCTTGCTTCTGCAGGAAAAGAGCCTCCAACTTCTTAGATGGGCGCATGGGGATCTCAGAGGTCCTTGATGTAGAAAAAAAGCTATCAACCACTCTGGCTGCCTGCCGTTTTCCAAATGTGATGTAGGCCCTGTAGCACTGTGCTACCGAGAAATATTTTAATTCCCTAGTAGTATATCTCATCGTCAGTTATGAAAAAAAAATGTGATAAGGCCAAGGTAACAATTGCATAATAACCTGAGGTTGCTTACTCCTCTGATTCTCTTTTTTGGTGCAGTGTCTCAAAAGTGGAGTATTTCTTTTTTCCCTACACTTTGCTTTTTCATTCATTAACTATAAATTGAACACTTAAAATATCAAGTATTTGTTGAACACCTGTTGTGTGCCATCTGCTGCTTGGTCTGAAGAACATAAAGGTTTAGAAATATATAATTCAGGGCTACGGGGTATGCATGGCTCAAGTGGTCTTGAGGTCCTGAGTTCAGTTCGACTCCTCTCCCCCCCAAAAAAAAGAATGTGAAACTCAAACTTTTTTAATCCTAAAAGTAATATTTTAAAATACTAAAGCAAATTGATAATGATATAGAAAAATACTAAACTGGGCTGGGAAGGTGGCTCAGTGGTAGAGCGCTTGCCTTGCAATGCATAAGGCCCTGGGTTCGATTCCCCAGCACCACATAAGCAAAAAGAAAAAAAAAAGCCGGAAGTGGTGCTGTGGCTCAAGTGGTAGAGCGCTAGCCTTGAGCTGAATAGCTGAGGGATAGCACCCAGGCCCAGAGTTCAGGCCCCACAACCGGACCCAAAAAAAAAAGAAAAATACTAAACTGTTGTCAAGGTTAGTCGTGGTGGTGCCAGTTTGTATTCTCAGTACTTTTGAGGTTGAGACAGAGAATGGAAATTTCAAAGCCAGGGTATTGCATTTGCAAGGCAGGTGTTCTACTACTTGAGTTATGACTAGCTTTTTTTCTGGTTCTGGAGTTTGAACTCTGGGCCTAGGCGCTGTCCCTGAGGTTTTGTGCATAAGACTAGCATTCTACCACTTGATCCCACAGCTCCATTTTCGGCTTTTTCTGTGATTAATTGGAGATGAATCTTATGGATTTTCCTGCTCAGTCTGGCTTTGAATTTTGATCGTCAGGTCTCAGCCTCCTGAATACTTAGGATTGTATAAAAGGGCTGCAATTAGCCATAAGCATTCAGCCTCCAGGCCTCCCCCCCTCCCCTCCAGGGCCTGGACATTGTCTTTGAGCTTCTTTTGTTCAAGGGTAGCACTCAACCACTTGAGCCACAATGCCATCTCCAGCTTTTTTGTTTATGTGGTGCTGAGGAATCAAACCCTGGGCTTCATGCATGCTAGGCAATTTCTCTACCACTAAGCCATATTCCCAGCCCCCTCCCTTTTTTTTTTTAAGTACTGGGGTTTGAATTTAGCCTTCAGTTTCTTGACTTGCTTGCTTAACTCAGCTAGCACTTTACCACTTGAGCCACATCTTCAGGCCTGTTATTTGCTGGTATTTTGGAGATGGAAGCTAGACTTATTTGGAATAGCAATCTTCTAGATCTCAGCTTTCTGAATATCTAGGATTACAGATGTGAGCCTCTGGCACCCCAGCCTCAGAGTCTTTTTTTTGCTTTTAGGTCTTCTCTTTCCCTTTCCTTTTTTTCTTTTTCTTTTGATGATGATACTGGGCTTCAAATCAGGACCTTTATTTTACTAGACTTTTGTGGCTACAGTGGTGCTTTACTACTTGAGCTATGCCTTCAGTTTAGCATTTTAGTGAACTAGAATCTCACAGACTTTTCTGCACAGGTTGGCTTCCAACCTGAATCTCTAGATCTCATCCTCCTGTAATTAGGATTATACATGTGAGCCATTGGTTTCTGGCTACTTTTAATTATTGTATGAATTAGGGCCTGGCATTTATGCCTGGGAAGCTTGCACCTTGATCCTTCTACATAATGTTGGTAGAGATGAGATGGAGTCTTGCAAACTTTTTGCCTGGGTAGCCTCAAACCTTCCAATCTCTTAACTCTCAAGTAGCTAGGAATACAGACATGAACCACTATTACCAGCTATCTTCTTTAAACCCACATGTTTTGTGTGAAAAATGTATATAACATGGTACTGATTTTGTTAAATATTATTTTATAGAAAAAACATTTTGGGGAATGTCCATAATACCTCTTGGTGGACCATTCCTTTGAATATTCTCAAATAAGCTTTGTACAAAGGAATACTTTTTACAATAAACATTAGTTGTATATGCAAGAAGGAATTGAAATATATTCACTTGTAAGGAAGCCTGAAAAAATAGTCTTAAATACATGGCAAATTAAAGCTTCAGTGTGTTATTTTTCCTGTGATTATTGCTCAAAAGGTACAGGGAACATTTGCCTATTATTGGTGAGGGTGTTCAGTTCTTTCAGAAAGGGATTTCATTATGTTAGATCTTAATATTAAGGGCCTGGCTTATCTGTCTTAAAAGGATCAAAATTGTATGAAATGCTTATACAATTATGTAAAAAGTCATATGAGAAATACTAGAGGAGAAAATGAACAGAAGTACAACAGCCTTTGTAACTGTCTCAGAAGGCTTTTCTGCTTGGTACTTTTTCATAGTAGCCCTATCATCTTTATCTCAATCAAAATTAAATATTATTTGGGTCATTTGCTGAATGGCTGCTTATGGTTGCACGAGCGGCAGCCATGGCTGCTGTGTCTTGTTTACTTCTTTCTACTTGGTGCTTAGAAGATTTTTCTTTACTATTCCTTTGACATATAAATAAAAATGTTTGGGTGATGGGATGAGGATCCTCTTCCTCCCTGAGATTTGTCTGAATTCTGAGAATGCTTTCTAATTTTAATAACATTTAAGAAAGAAGTATAGAGAGAGAGCTGGTAAACAAAGAAGCCACTAGCTAAACCCATTCTTTCATAAAATCTGCTTTGCCTCTTTAAAGGAGAAATCCATTTGGTTAGCCTATAGAAAAGGCTTTCTTTCAACAACAAAAAGAGAGCGGGAGGGAGCCACGCCATAAGGTCTCTGCCTAATGGTTAGGAATTCTTATCTTTCTGGGTTTTGTTTCATTTAGTGAATACCAGGGCCTGGTGAAGCACACAGGAGGCTGCCACTGTGGAGCTGTTCGTTTTGAAGTCTGGGCCTCAGCAGATTTACATATCTTTGACTGCAAGTGAGTATTTTTCTCTTCTTAAATTGGCTTAACAAAAATTAAAGAGTTAAAATGCAGTGCTTCAGAAAAATCTGGGGAGGTGGGATATAGATGAAACAGCACTGGCCCAGAGCTGATAATTGTTGAAATCAGTGCAGGGACATAAATATTCATTGAGCTCTTCTTTTTCCTTGAATATGGCTTGACATTTTCAATAATATTTTTTTTTCAATAATATTTTTTTAATTTTTTTATTGTGAACATACTGTACAGAGGGGTTACAATTACATGGGCAAGTACATTTCTTATCAAGCATTGTAGCCTCCTCCTTTGTTTCCCCTTCCTATCCTCCCCCCCCCAATAATAATTTTTTTTTAAGGTAGAAGCTAAAAATAATCATCTCTGTGTGTGTTTATGTGCATGTGTTAGAGGTGGGACAGACTGGCCACAGAGTGAAAGTATTTGATAACAAAAGCCTCTTCTAGTCCCCGGGACTTAAACTCAAACTCGGGACTTAAACTCAAACTCGGGGCCTGGGTGCTGTCCCTGAGTTTTTGTTCTCAAGACTAGTGCTCTATCACTTTGAGCACAGCTGTTTCTGGCTTTTTGGTGGTTTATTGGAAATAAGAGTCACATGGACTTTTCTGCCTTGGCTGGCTTTGAATCATGATCTTCAGATTTCAGCCTCCTGAGTAGCTAGGATTACAGGTTTGAGCTATTGTTGCCCAGCACAGAAGCCTCTTTGTAGAAATTCAGAGTTGAGGAGATGTGAGGCCAATGAGTGAAGGGAGTTTATATCCAGAAGCTCCCCATGACTGGTCTCTTGCTTTGTTCTTTTTTGCGGGGGAGGGAGGGCTTTGAACTCTGGGCCTGGGTGCTGTCCCTCAGCTCTTAAGCTCAAGGTGAGTGCTCTACCACTTGAGCCACAACGCCACTTCTGGTGCTCTGGTGGTTTATTGGAGATAAGAGTCTCACAGAGGGGCTGGGAAGGTGGCTCACTGGTAGAGCGCTTGCCTTGCATGCCTGAGGCCCTGGGTTCGATTCCTCAGCACCACATAAGCAAAAAGAAAAAAGCCAGAAGTGGCGCTGTGGCTCAAGCTCTAGCCTTGAGCTGAAGAGCTGAGGGACGGCGCCCAGGCCCAGAGTTCAGGCCCCACGACTGGACCCCCCCCCCAAAAAAAAGTCTCACAGACTTCCTTACCAGGGCTGGCTTTGAACCTCGATCCTCAGATCTCAGCCTCCTGAGTAGCTAGGATTACAGGCATGAGCCAGTGGTGCCCGGCTCTTGCTTTGTTCTTTTTTTTTTTTTTTTTTTGTCGGTTGTGGGGCTTGAACTCTGGGCCTGGGCACTGTCCCTCAGCTCTTCAGCTCAAGGCGAGCACTCTACCACTTGAGCTACAGCGCCACTTCCGGTTTTCTGGTGGTTTATTGGAGATAGGAGTCTCACGGTCTCCCCTGCCCGGGCTGGCTTTGAACCACGATCCTCAGATCTCAGCCTCCTGAGTAGCTAGGATTACAGGCGTGAGCCACCAACGCCCGGCTTTCTTGCTTTGTTCTTGACATGAGGCAGATGGTACCACTAGGAGCAGTGGAGGGCCTACTTCTTTATCTCCTCCTCTCTTTTCTCCTCTTTCCTCCTCCATCCTCCTGTGTCCTTCTCCTCTCTTCTCCTCTCTCTTCCTCTTCCTCTGTCATTGTCTTCTTCAAACCACAGTCCTGAGTAGCTAGGATTATAAGTGTCACCCTCAAGTGAGGGTCTGCTTCTTACTACCTTCTGTGGCATGGTAGAACAAGAACAACAGGCTCTGGCTTCTGGACCAGTTGTTGGCAAGTCCTAATTCAACAGTATGCAATCCTTTTTGCCTGTAAATGGTACCTGAATTATATATGAATAAGAAATATACTCAAATGGAGAATTGATAAGCTACTAAGAGTAGAATCTGGCCTTGGAAAGAAATACTGTAGAATAATTTATTAGAGGATCTCATACTAAGAAAAAAAAGAAGTGAGGCTGGGAATATGGCTTAGTAGTAGAGCGCTTGCCTAGCATGCGTGAAGCCCTGGGTTTAATTCCTCAGTACCACATAAACAGAAAAAGCTGGAAGTGGTGCTGTGGCTCAAGTGGTAGAGCACTATCCTTGAGCACAGAGAGAGGTTCAGGGACAGTGCCCAGGCCCTGAGTTCACACCCCAGGACTGGCAAAGAAAAAAAGAAGTCGAGTTGTAGCTCAAGTGGTAGAGTTCTACTCTAGTCTTTTTTTTTTTTTTTGGTCAGTCATGGGGCCTGAACTCGGCTTGGGTACTATACTTCAGGTGGTCTTCAGTTCAAGGAGAGCGCTCTTCCACTTGAGCTTCAGCCCCACTTCCGGCTTTTTCTGTGGTGCTGAGGAATCTAACCTAGGGCCTCATGCATGCAAAGCAAGCACTCTACCACTGAGCCACCTTCCCAGCCCCAATAGAGCTCTAGTCTTGAACACAGCACCCAGGCCCCAAGTTCAAACCCCAGGATCAGCATGCATGTGTGTACACACACACAGGTGTAAACTTCAGCTCACTTTCCCAAGGGTTGTGAGCTTACCAATGCAAGCGTTGAACTCTTCAGCTCTCATTGCAGAAATTCTAAATGTATATTTGTTATATTTGGGCGTATGTAAATATGCTGGTTCTGGGGCTTGAACTCATTCAGGGCCTGGGTGCTGTCCCTGAGCATATTAGGTGTGAGCCACTGGTGTTGCTGAGGTTTTTTTGCTCAAGGCTAGAACTCTGCCATTGGAGCTATATCTCTACTTTCAGCTCTTCTGGTGGTTAATTGGAGATAGGAGTCTCATGGACTTTTCTGTCTGGGCTGAGTTTGAATTGCAATCCTTAGATCTCAGATTCCTGAGTAGCTAGGATTATAGGTATGAGCCACTGGTACCTGGCCACTGATACCTGGCCAGGTAACAGTTTTTTCTTTTTTTTTTTCTGGTCCTGGGGCTTCAATTCAGGGTCTGGGTGCTATCCCTTGAGCGTCTTTGTGCTCAAGGCTACCATTCTGCTACAGTGGCACTTTCAGCATTTTTTTTGAGTACTTTACTGGAGATGAGAGTCTCAGACTTTTTTGTTGTTGTTGTTGGTCTTGTGGCTTGAGCACAGGGCCTGGGCACTGTTCCTGAGCCTCAAGGCTAGTGCTCTACCACTTGAGCCAAGGCACCACTTCCAGCCTTTTCTGTATAGTTTATTGGAGATAAGAGTCTGGTGGACTTACCTGCCTGGGTTGGCCTCAAACTGCTATCGTCAGATATCAGCTTCCTGAATAGCTAGGATTATAGGCATGAGCCACTGGTGACAGGCTTAAGTGAGAATTTTTTTTCTTTTTTCTTTTTTTTTTTTTTTGTCAGTCATGGGGCTTGAACTCTGGGCCTGGGTGCTGTGAGACTTTAACTATGGGCTGGGCACTGTCCCTCAATTCTTCAACTCAAGGCTAGTGCTCTACCACTTGTCACAATGCCACTTTCGGTTTTCTGGTGGTTAATTGGAGATAAGAGCCTCACGTAAAACAAAGGAGGAGGTAACAATGCCCGATAGGAAATGTACTCATTGCCCTACTCATGTAACTGTAACACTTCTGTACAGTATTTTTACAATAAAAAATCTATGTGAAAAAAAAGAGTCTCACCATTTCATAAGTCAGATAATGAGTACATTTCTTTTATTGGACACTATCATCCCTTTGCTTTCTCCCTGTTTCCCTCTCCCATCCCTGCTAAGTCATATATATATATATATATATATATATATATATTTTTTTTTTTTTTTTTTTTTTTTTTTTTTTTTTGCTGGTCCTGGGAGCTTGAACTGTGGCTTTGGTACTGTTCCTGGGCTCCTTTTTGCTCAAGGCCTGTACTCTACCACTTGAGCCACAGCGCCACTTTGGGCTTTTTCTGTGATTAACTGGAGATAAGAGTCTCATGGACTTTCCTACCTGGGCTGGCTTTGAACTTCAACCCTCAGATCTCAGCCTCCTGCATAGTTAGGATTGTAGGTGTGAGCCACTGGTGCCTGCCAAGTCAGGATTTTTTTTTCTTTTTAAAAAAATTTTTGCTGGCCCTGGGGCTTGAACTCAACCTGGATGATTCACTTTGTACTCAAGGCTAGTTCTCTATCACTTTAGCCACAGCACCACATCCCCCTTTTTCTGAGTAGTTTATTGGAGATAAGGGTCTTAAAGACTTTCCTGCCTGGGCTGGCCCGAGTCAGAGTTTTTAAAAGATCAATTGGAGGATTCATGGTGTACTAAGTAAGTAGAGTCCTTACTTAGTATTGCTAGGTTCTGGATTTCTGGATTTACTATTTATAATGTGCTTGCGCAGGTGTGGGCGCACGCGCGCGCGCGCGCGCGCACACACACACACACACAGTAGATTTTGTCATGAGACAATGAAAAATTTCTTGCCTTTGGGGGAAAAAAAGTGGATTTTGGTCATTCTCATTCTAGACACAACCTGCTTTTGGCCTATTCAAAGAATATTAATATATTATTTTTCCTAAAATTTTACTACCACTTTCAGGAAAAAAAGATTGGATTCTTACTAATTTCCAGTTTGGTATTTCTGGAATCTATTCTACTTGGAGCTAGATTTTCTGATCTTTAGATGAAGAAAAAAGGAAACCTTGTCCTTGTTCCTTGTTCAGTTTTGGTATGGATGTCTAACAGGCCTAAGGTCATGGCAGTATTTGTCTTTAAAATCCAGTGTTTGCTGGGGGGTGGGGTGGGTGGGAGATGGGAAGGGATGGGAAGGGGAAACAAAGGAGGAGGCACCAATGCTTGATAAGAAATGTACTCATTATCTTGCCCATGTAATTGTAACCCCTCTATACAGTATTTTCACACACACACAAAAAAATAATAATCCAGTGTTTGGGGCTGGGAAGGTGGCTCAGTGGTAGAGTGCTTGCCTCACATGCATGAGGCCCTGGGTTGATTCCTCAGTACCACATAAGCAGAAAAAGCTGGAAGTGGTGCTGTGGCTCAAGTGGTAGAGCACTCGCCTTGAGCTGAAAAGCTGAGGGACAGCGTCCAGGCCCAGAGTTCAAGCCCTACTACTGACAAAAAAAAAAATCCAGTGTTTCCCTACACTGTGGGTAACAGAAATGTGGTCCTGTTGGTCTGGATTGCTGACTGGGAGTGGCTTCACTTGTAGATCTGGATCTGGTTGTCTATGCCACCACACAGAGTAAAGGCCCCAGGTATCCAGTCCATCTGCTTCACTGTCTCTGGATATGCTGAAAGGGACTGTTCACAATTTGGGTTTTTCTCTGTCTTTCTGTAGTTGCAGCATCTGCAAGAAGAAGCAGAATAGACACTTCATTGTTCCTGCTTCTCGATTCAAGCTCCTGAAGGTTAGTATTGAAGTCAAGGGGGTTAAAACCCCAAAGTAACCCTGTGGAGTTGGAGGTGCAGGGCCTCTCAGGGGCTTGAGTGGTTTTTGTTTGTTTTGTAACAGACCTCTCTATGTAGTATATGCCAGCTTTGAACTGTCAACTGAGATTACAGGTGTAGGCCAACATATTCAGCTTTTCTTCATTTTAGAAGGCTCCTTGAAGGGCTGGGAAGGTGGCTCAGTGGTAGAGTGCTTGCCTTGCATGCCCGAGGCCCTGGGTTCAATTCCTCAGCACCACATAAGCAAAAAGAAAAAAGATAGAAGTGGTGCTGTGGCTCAAGTGGTAGAGCGCTAGCCTTGAGCTGAAGAGCTGAGGGACAGCGCCCAGGCCCCAGAGTTCAGGCCCCAACAACTGACCAAAAAATAAATAAAATAAAGAAGGCTCATTGATATCATCATAGAAACATTTTCTTTCTTTCTTTCTTTTTCTTTTTTTTTTTTTGCTTGTCCTGGTGCTTGAATTCAGGGCATGGGTGCTGTCCCTGCGCTTTTGTTCAAGGCTAGCACTCTTACTACTTGAGCCATAGTGCCATTTCTGGCTTTTTCTGTTTATGTGGTACTGAGGAATTAAACCAAGGGCTTCCTGCATATTAGGCAAGCACTCTACCACTAAGCCACATTCCCAGCCCATGGAAACATTTTCAAATTAAAAGAATCAGAAAATAAATTCAGACCTTTCCCAGATGCTCTTTTTTCTGGCTCTTTTCCAGCTCTTTTCTCTCTTTTCTAGCTCTTTTCTCTCTTTCCCAGCTCTCTCTTTTTCCCAGCTCTCCCAGCTCTCTTTCCCAGGCCTTTCCCCACTGCGTGGAGGACCAACATGGCCTGGTGAATAAACCTACCCCTTACCTGGAAAAAAAAAAAGAAAGAAAAAATAAAATAAACTCAGGAGTATATGATGGTGTGTACCTGTCATCTCAACTATTAGGAGGATCCTGGTCAGAGACTGCCACTAGGTTTCAAAAAAGCACAAATCACCATCTGAAACATAAAGCAGAAAAGGGCTGGGGCATGGCTTAAGTGGTAAAGTGCTTGTTAGCTCAAGGTCCTGAGTTTAAACCTTAGTACTAAAAAAGAAAGATTGACCAAATGGGTGGCTGCATTAGTCTTGGTCATCCCGAATGGGTAAGATTTAATCCCAAATGTGGGACTCTAGTTGTGTGTACACTTGTGTCTTTGTTTTTTTTTTTTTTTTTGCCAGTCATGGGCCTTGAACTCTGGGCCTGGGCGCTGTCCCTCAGCTCTTCAGCTCAAGGCTAGCACTCTACCACTTGAGCCACAGCACCACTTCTGGCTTTTTTCTGCTTATGTGGTGCTGAGGAATCGAACCCAGGGCCTCATGCATGCAAGGCAAGCACTCTACCACTGAGCCACCTTCCCAGCCCTACACTTGTGTCTTTGTTTTATTCCCAGTCTTACTCTCCCCTCTATTCCCCTAACCTCTCCCCACCCTACTGCTCCCCTCCCCCTTCCCCTTTCTCTTCCTGCCATCTCCCCCTTCCCTCCCCTCCCCCCCCCCCTTTTTTTTGACAGACATGGAGCTTGAACTCTGGGCCTGGGCACTGTCCCTGAGCTCTTCAGCTCAAGTCTAGTGCTCTACCACTTGAGCCACAGCCCCACTTTCCCCTCCCCTTCCTATTGTGTCTTGATCTCTTTCTCATTCTCTGCAGGGGGGGGGGGAGGTCGTGGGGCTTGAACTCCTCAGCTCTTCAGCCCAAGCCACAGCACCACTTCTGGTTTTCTGGTGGTTTATTGGAGATAAGAATCTCACTGGGCTGGGAAGGTGGCTCAGTGGTAGAGGGTTTGCCTTGCACGCATGAGGCCCTGGGTTCTATTCAGCACCACATAAGCAGAAAAAGCTAGAAGTGGCACTGTGGCTCAAATGGTAGAACACTAGCCTTAAGCTGAAGAGCTGAAGGATAACATCCAGACCCAGAGTTCAGGCCCCACGACTGACCAAAAAAAAAAAGAGTCTTACAGACTCCTGCCCAGGCTGGTTTGGAATGGCAGTCTTCAGATCTCAGCCTCGGGAGTAGCTAGGATTACAAGTGTGAGCCACTGGCACCTGGCTTCTTTCTTATTCTTGTTATGTTACCTAGACTGTCTTAAATTGTTGCACTTAAGCAGTCTTTCTGCCTAATGCTAAGTAACTGAGATCATAGGCATGTATTGCTGGATCTAGTGCTTTTGTTTTTTTACTTAATCATCTATCTATCTATCTACGTTTTTATGCTGCTACAGGGATTGAATTCAGGGCCTGTGCTCCTTTCCTAAGTTTTTTTTTTGTCCATCATGGGGCTTGAACTCTGGGCCTGGGTGCTGTCCATCAGCTCCTCAGCTCAAGGCTTCTCAGCCTCCTTAGTATAGTAGCTAGGATTACAGGCATGAACTACTGGTGCCTGGCTTTTTTTTTTTTTAATAGTCAAGGTTAGCACTGTCCCACTTGAGCCTCAGCTCCATTTCTGGCTTTTTCTTTGTTAATTGAAGATAAGAGTCTTAGAAAGCCAGGTACCAGTGGCTCACACCTATAATCCGAGCTACTCAGGAGGCTGAGTTCTGAGGATCACAGTTCAAAGCCAGCCCAGGCAGGAAAGTCCATGAGACTCTTATCTCCAATAAAATACCAGAGAACCAGAAGTAGCGCTGTGGCTCAAGTGGTAGAGCGCTAGCCTTGAGCTAAAGAGCAGAGGGACAGTGCTCAGGCCTAGAGTTCAAGCTCCATGACTGCCCCCCCAAAAAAGAGTCTTACAGATTTTCTCGTCTGGGATGGCTTTGAGTTACTATCCTCAGATCTCAGCCTCCTGAGTGTCTAGGATTACAGGATTACAAGACTCCCCTTGGATCCTTCAATAATACCTTGCTCAGTGTGGTGACAAGGAGATATGCCCAGTGGGTAGGATACCTTTTCCATACCTTTCCTATAAGCCACGTGTCTTCTACTGCTTGCAGGAGGCTGTAGTTCCCCTCTGCTTTTTCCCCAAGCACCTGTGATGAGAAGATCCTGAAGATGTCACTAAGTGCAGCTATGGGCCTATAGGAATTGGTGCTCTGGGGTTTTCTTCCTCAGTATGTCTCTTTGTCCATGTTTTTCTGGTACTCCAGAACATAGTTCTCTTCTTCAGCCTCACCCCATCAAAGGAGAAATTTTCTGTTTAAGATAAAACAACCACTTATTTAAGAGGTACCTATTGTGCACCAGGCACTGTGGACCATGTTTTGTGTTCTTGGAGCTTATATGTTATAGGTAGGGAAACTGAAAGAAGATCTGAGAGTAGAAGGCTGTGTAGAGAATTAAAGTCAGGCCATATTATAAGGAATAACCGTGGCTTTTTTCCTTCAGTAGGGATCTAATTAGGATGATATAGACAGTAGAGGGCATGGATAGGAAGAATGTCTAGGCCAAGGGGGTATTCAGTGCCAGGGATTACAGAGCCTGAACCAAAGAGGGACAGTTGTGGCTGGTGAGTTGGTGGTGGTGCAGGGGTTGGGAAGAGTGGCCTAAGTCAGAGTTGGAGCAATAGGCTGAAGTTGATGAGCAGGCAGATTTTATGCTTTGAGGTGTGAAAAGCCCATGGAAGGTTATAAGCAGGGTAGTGACAAAGCCTGATTCAATGTTTATTATTTTCCAGCTCTAAAGGGAGAATGGATTTAAGAAGGTAAATGTGGAGGCAGGAAGCAAGAGATTTTTGAGGGCACGTGCCTGAAGCAAATATTAACATGTGTTATGGGCCTCATTTCTTTTTCTATACGTCTAGAATGGGACCCAAGAATTTATATACTTTTTACTAGTTCCCTGGTGAATGTAGTTCTGCTTTCCTGGGAGCACACTTCGAGAACTACTGTTGTAGTGGCAGTAGAATTATGAAAGAACTGCATGTACAGATGAGGAAAAAGCAAGAAGAATGAGTGTTAAATCCAAGATAATAGGCCTGAGAATCTAGTTGAATAGAGTCAGGCCGTATGGGACAAGCAGGTATGGGTAGGTAGAGTACTGGGACCAATTCAGCCAGAGATCTCCCTCCCCCTTTTTTTTTTCTTTTCTTTTCTTTCTTTCTTTTTTTTTTGTCAGTCATGGGGCTTGAACTCTGGGCCTGGGCACTATCCCTCAGCTCTTCAGCTCAAGGCTAGCCTCTATCACTTGAGCCACTGAGTGGTTTATTGGAGATAAGAGTCCTGGACTTTCCTTCTGGGGCTGGCTTTGAACCTTGATTCTCAGATCTCAGCCTCCTAAGTAGCTAGGATTACAGGCGTGAGCCAGCTTCAGAGATCCCTTTTGAATGGTCATCAGACAGGAAATGGATAGTTGGATCTAAAGGACTGTAGTTCTGAGAGATCAGAGTTGGACCTACCAATGTAGGAGTTGCTGTTATACTGGTGGTGTTTAGGGTTGGATGAGGTCAACTAGAATAGGGAGGCAGAACAGGAAGAGGTCAGTGGACAGCCCTAGGCTGAACAGAACCGGGACAAGAAACAAACAGAGGGGCTAGAGAAGGATTAAAAACAAAAGAGTGCAGGACAGGCACCCGTGGCCCACACCTGTAATCCTAGCAGCTCAGGAGGCTGAGATCTGAGGATCACAGTTCAAAGCCATCTTGGGCAAGAAAGTCAGTGAGAGACTCTTATCTCCAGTTATCCACCAGAAAATGGGAAGTGGCGCTATGGCTCAAGTGGTAGAGTGTTAGCACTGAGCAGAACAGCTGAAGGATAGCACCAAGGCCCAGAGTTCAAGCCCCATGACTCACAAAAAACAAAAAAACAAAAACAAAGAGCATGGAATTCACAGGGGCAAATGTTTTAAAATGGAAGGAATGCTATAGAGTCTAAGGTAAGAATCCTGTGGTTGGAAGAAGTAGCTGTTAGATTTGTTAATGTGGTAGTTCATTGATGATCTGTGCTTGGGAAAAAGTCAGAAGAAATGATCACAGGAGTTAAGCTAGCAGTATATTTTGATGACAATAGTCTGTTCTAGTGAGGAGCAGGTTGATGGATGGACAATATGGGGGTCTGGATGTCATTGGTTGAGTTCTAGTAACAAATGAGACAAGTCATCCCTCCTGATAATTCCTTGAGGGAAAGGTATAATCAGTTAACTGTGGATAGCTTGGTACTACTTAATAGTTGTCTTTGCTGTTGGTGTGATTACAATGTTATGGTGTGAGAAAGGTTCCTCAGGGTGTTTTTGTTCTTTGTTGTTGGTTGTGGACTGGCTGCAGTCCCTGAGCCTCTTTGTACTAAAGACTAGCACTCTATCACGTGAGCCACCATACCACTTACAGTTTTTTTGAGTGGTTAATTGGACGTAAGAGTCTCTTGGGGAGTTTACCAAGGGGGCTGGCTTTGAACAGTGATCCTTAGATCTCAGTTAGAATTACAGGCATGAGTCATTGGTGCCTGGCTCCCGGCTCCCTTGAGACTCATCTCCAATTAACCACCAGAAAACCAGAAGTGGCAATATGGCTCAAGTGATAAAGCACTTACCTTGAGTTGAAGAACTGAGGGACAGCGCCCAGGTCCAGAATTCAAGCCCCGTGACCAAAAAAAAAAAAAAGTATAAAGAGGCCTAACAATGATAAGAAACCTCACCTCATCCTGGGAGGGTACTATTGCTTCTACCTATAATCCTAGGTACAGTTGGGCACTGGTGGCTCACACCTGTAATCTTAGCAACCATCTTAGCAGGCTGACATCTGAGGATCTCGGTTCAAAGCCAGCCATCCTGGGCAGAAAAGGCCAGGAGACTCTTATCTCCAATAAACCATTAGAAAACCAGAAGTGGTGCTGTGGCTCGAGCGGTAAAGTGCTATCCTTGAGCTGAAGAGCACAGGGACAGCGCCCAAGCCCAGAGTTCAAGCCCCATGACTGACAAAAAAAAAAAAAATCCTAACTACTTGCTGAGATCCAGACAATTGTAGTTGAAGCTTTTCCAGTCTTTTGTGAGAAACAGGCCCTGTGCTTAAAATCCTGAGAGCCCTGCAAGGGACTCTCCTATTAACCCCTTTATTTTATTTTATTTAAAAAAAAAATTTTTTTTTTTGGGGGGGTGGGTCTGGTCATGGGGCCTGAACTCTGGGCCTGGGCACTGTCCCTCAGCTCTTCAGCTCAAGGCTAGCACTCTACCATTTGAGCCACAGCGCCACTTCTGGCTTTTTTCTTTTTTGCTTATGTGGTGCTGAGGAATCGAACCCAGGGCCTCAGGCATGCAAGGCAAGCGCTCTACCACTGAGCCACCTTCCCAGCCACCCCCCCCCATTAACCCTTTTAATTATTTATTTTGGTGCCAGTATTGGGGCTTGAATTCAGGGCCTGGGTACTGTCCCTGAGCGATTTCCCCCCCTGGTTGTGGGCTTGAACTCTCTGGGCCTGGGTGCCGTCCCTCAGCTCTTCAGCTCAAGGCAAGCACTCTACCACTTGAGCAATAGCACCACTTCTGGTTTTCTGGTGGTTTATTGGAGATAAGAGTCTCCCAGACTTTCTTGCCCAGGCTGGCTTTGAACTGTGATCCTCAGATCTCAGCCTCCTGAGTAGCTAGGATTACAGACATGAGCCCGACTTGTCCCTGAGCTTTTTATTTTTTTTTAATTTTTTTTGTTGGTCGTGGGGCTTGAACTCTGGGCCTGGGCGCTGTCCCTCAGCTCTTCAGCTCAAGGCGAGCGCTCTACCCCTTGAGCTACAGCGCCACTTCCGGTTTTCTGGTGGTTTATTGGAGATAGGAGTCTCACGGTCTTTCCTGCCCGGGCTGGCTTTGAACCCCGATCCTCAGATCTCAGCCTCCTGAGTAGCTAGGCTTACAGGTGTGAGCCACCAGCGCCCGGCTGAGCTTTTTATTTTTGGCTCAAGGCTAGCTACTGCTCTACCACTTGAACCACAACTCCACTTCTGACTTTTTGGTGATTTAATTGTACACAAGAGTCTCTCAGGCTTTTCTGCTCTGGTTCTGAATTATGATTCCCAGATCTTAGCCTCCTCTAGCTAGGATTACAGGTATGGACCCAGCTAAGATTTTTTGTTGGTGGTGGTGGTAGTGGGGCTTGAACTCTGGGCCTGGGTGCTGTCCCTGAGCATTTCATTTCAGCTCAAGATGAGTGCTGTACCACTTGAGCCACAGCGTTTCTTCCAGTTTTCAGGTGGCTAGTTGGAGGTAAGAGTCTCATGGACTTTCTTGCCCAGGCTGGCTTTGAACTGTGATCCTCATATCTCAGCCTCCTGAGTAGCTAGGATTACAGGTGTCAGCCACTGACACCCAGCTAAGATTTATTTTTTAAATGACATAAAAAGTAATCTTTTTTAAAAAAAAATAAAAGCACATTTGTTTCTGTTTTCCCTAGGGAGCTGAGAGCCTAACAACTTACACATTTAACACGCACAAAGCCCAGCATACCTTCTGTAAGAAATGTGGTGTTCAGAGCTTCTACACTCCCCGCTCTAACCCTGGAGGCTTTGGTAAGTAAATCTCAAGTGGCCAGCAGGTCTGGGATACTTGGAGTTAGAGTGCTGCTTGGACAGGAGGGCACTGGTGTTTTAGTGTGACTCTGTCTGGCCAGGTGCTTTCACAAGTATGCTTTAGAAGAACAGGGCTCTTCAGCATAGCTCTTCCTCCGGTAGGATGTAAAACTGGGGCTGTCCTACATGGTAATGCCTATGTCAGAGTCAAGTGAGATTATGATTTTTTACGCACTGGTGCTATACATCCCTAGGGAGAGTACTGAAGGGGGAAAGAGGATGCTACAGAGATGGGCCTGTGGAGCAGTAGAAGTCACTGGAATAATGACAGGGGTCAAGGAAGTGAAGGAGGCAAGAATGGAGACTGTTATTAGTGTTAAAAAACATTTGAGGGCTGAGAAAGTGGCTCAGTGGTAAAGCGCTTGCCTTGCATGCCTGAGGCCTTGGGTTCGATCCCTCAGCACCACATAAGCAGAAAGAAAAAAGCCGGAAGTGGCGCTGTGGCTCAAGTGGTAGAGCGCTATCCTTGAGCTGAAGAGTTGAGGGACAGCGCCCAGGCCCAGAGTTCAGGCCCCACGACCGGACCCCCCCCAAAAAAAAAAAAAAAATTGAAGCCAGGCGCTGGTAGCTCATGCATGTAATCCTAGCTACTCAGGAAGCTGAGATCTGAGGATAACGGTTTAAAGCCAGAAGAGTCAGTGAGACTTATTGCCAGTTAACCACCAGATAACTCAAAGTGGCACTGTGTCTCAAACACAGGGACAGCACTCAGGCCTGAGTTCAAGCCCTATGACTGACAACAACAAAAATTTGGGCTGGATAGTTCAGTGGTATTGCCTGGAATGTGTAGGGCTCTGGGTTTGATCCACAGTACCATCAAAGAAAGAATGAAAGAATGAATTCGAAAATTAAGTTCATTCAGAAATGAAAGAATGAGGGCTGGGAAGGTGGCTCAGGGGTAGAGCACTTGCCTTGCATGTATGAGGCGCTGGTTCGATTCCTCAGCACCACATAAGCAGAAAAAAAAGCCGGAAGTGGTGCTGTGGCTCAAGTGGTAGAGCACTAACCTTGACCTGTAGAGCTGAGGGACAGTGCCCAGGCCCAGAGTTCAGGCCCCACGACCGGACCCAAAAAAAAAAAAAAAAAGAAATGAAAGAATAAATTTGAAAATTAAGTTCATTCAGAAAAGAAGCAGCAACCCACAGTTACTTGGATAACACCAATTGCAGCGTGAAGTAGGGGAAACCTAGAAACCAATAATGTCCTGTGTAAATGTAGAGCTGGCTGGACAGTTGTAATCAATGCCTTCTGGAGGAGGGCAGGAAAAGTTTTTTGTTTTTGTTTTTTGTCTATCATGGGGCTTGAACTCAGAACCTGTGCTCTGCCTCTGAGCTTTTTCACTTAAGGCTAGTGCTCTACCACTTTGAGCCATAACATGATTTTCTGGTTGTTAATTAGAGATGAGTCTCAGGGTTTTTACTCCCCAGGTTGGCTTTGAATTGCAATCCTCATATCTTGGCCTCCTGAGTAACTTAAGATGAACCACCAATGCCCAGCAAGATTTTTATTTTTAGCTGGGCTCTGGTGGCTCACACCTGCAATCCTAGCTACTCAGGAGGCTGAGATTTGAGGATCATGGTTCAAAGCTAGCATGGGCAGGAAAGTCCATGAGACTCTTTTTTGGGGGGAGGGCGGTCTGGTTGTGGGGCCTGAACTCTGGGCCTGGGCGCTGTCCCTCAGCTCTTCAGCTCAAGGCTAGTGCTCTACCACTTGAGCCACAGCGCCACTTCTGGCTTTTTTCATTTTGCTTATGTGGTGTTGAGGAATGGAACCCAGGGCCTCATGCATGCAAGGCAAGCGCTCTACCACTGAGCCACCTTCCCAGCCCCGTAACTAGGATTTTCTTAGCACAGCAAACCACCCATAAGGCCTAAACTGAGGCCTTAGGCCTATCACTTGGGAATCTCATGTGTGGAGTTGCGATGATTTCAGGTAGGAGATTATTGAAGTCACTGTGTTTTCTGTTCTCACCCATTCTTTGGACTCTTCTTTCTCTGTGTCACTTGCTCCTAGGAATTGCTCCACACTGCCTGGATGAGGGTACCGTACGGAGCATAGTCACTGAGGAATTCAATGGCAGTGATTGGGAGAAGGCCATGAAGGAGCACAAGACCATCAAGAACATGTCGAAAGAATGAAATTCTGTTTCTACCTTCCTGGAAAGGAACAATGAGTGGGGCCAGCAGCTCTATAGGTCTTATCACACCTTGATGGTGCCCATGGTATGGCTGACCAGGCTACTGGCACTGTTGGCTGGCAGCCATCTTGTCCTCTGAAGTTTGCTCCAGCTACCAGTTCCTTTAGGCAGCTCTTTATTCTTCCATAGCGCAGATTTTGATGTAGGATAGTTGACCCTTTTACTTCTTTTTGCCAAATTTTGTGTGATCTTTTAGAAAATAAATATTTTTAACATGGTTACTATGGTTCCTTGTTTCCTTTGAACTTTGATTTTGGCCTCTGGGGCCTGTCATTTAACAGCAGATATTTACTGAGCACTTATCAAAATGCTTTCCCCCAAATTGTGAAGAAGCAATAAGACCGGTGATTATGAGTAAATATAGTTCCTGTGAGTTGTGAAGGTAAGAATTGTAGGATTCGGGCTGGGAAGGTGGCTCAGTGGTAGAGCGCTTGCCTTGCATGCATGAGGCCCTGGGTTCAATTCCTCAGCACCACAGAAGCAGAAAAACCGGAAGTGGCGCTGTGGCTCAAGTGGTAGAGCTCTAGCCTTGAGTTGAAGATCTGAGGGACAGTGCCCAGACCCAGAGTTCAGGCCTCATGACCGGCAAAAAATAAAAACAAAACAAAAAAAAATTGTAGGGTTCAAGAATAGACGAGTTAGTCAAGGAAAATTTGAGGTGGGTATGATGTAAAGCACATTAACTTTTTTTTCCAGTCCTGTGGCTTGAACTCAGGGCTAACACCCTACCACTTGTGCCATGGTGCCACTTCTGGCTTTTTCTGTTTATGTTGTACTGAGGAATTGGACCCAGTGCTTCATGCATGCTAGGCAAGTATTCTACCACTAAGCCACATTCCCAGCTCAGGCTTTTTGGTTTTTAGAGATAGGATCTTACTATGGAGCCCAAACTGGCCTAGAACTTGTGATCTTCCTGCCTCATCTTCCCAAGTGTTTGGGATTACAGGCATGTAGCACTACACTCAGCCACATTGCTTTATCTTATGTTGTTACAGTTATATAAGTCAGGTAAAGATTGCATTTTTTTTTTTTTTTTGGTCAGTCGTAGGGCCTGAACTCTGGGCCTGAGCGCTGTCCCTCAGCTCTTCAGCTCAAGGCTAGTGCTCTACCACTTGAGCCACAGCGCCACTTCTGGCTTTTTCTGCTTATGTGGTGCTTATGTGGTGCTGAAGAATTGAACCTAGGGCCTCATGCATGCAAGGCACACACTCTACCACTGAGCCACCTTACCAGCCCCTGTTTTTTTTAGTTAAAATAGAGGTCCCCTATCCCTTCCTCGACCCCTCACCCCTAAGCCCAGACTGGCCTTTATCTCACTTTGTAGCCCTGACTGGCCTGGGACTCACAGCTTTCCTGCCTTCAGATTCTAATTGCTGGAATTGCAGGCATGTACTACCATACATCTGTCTGTCTGTCTGTCTCTTTCTCTCTGTCTACCTACCTATCTATCTAGGCACTGGGATTTTTTTTTTTTTTTTTGGGGGGGGGTCTGGTAGTGGGGACTGAACTCTGGGCCTGGACGCTGTCCTTCAGCTCTCTACCACTTGAGCCACAGCGCCACTTCTGGCTTTTTTTCTTTTTGCTTATGTGGTGCTGGGGAATCAAGCCCAGGACCTCATGCATGCAAGGCAAGCGCTCTACCACTAAGCCACCTTTCCCAGCCCTTAGGCACTGGGATTTGAACCTAAGCTTTGCTTGCCTTACTTGCTCATCTTGTGCTCTATCACTTGAGCCATGTTTCTAGTCTGGCCTTTTCTGTTTTTCTTTTTTTTTTGGGGGGGGGGGGTCCAGTTGTGGGGCCTGTACTCTGGGGCTGGGCTCTGTCCCTCAGCTCTTCAGCTCAAGGCTAGCGCTCTACCACTTGAGCCACAGAGCCACTTCCGGTTTTTTTTTTCTTTTTGCTTATGTGGTGCTGGGGAATTGAACCCAGGGCCTCAGGCATACAAGGCAAGTGCTCTACCAGCCCCTCTGTTTTTCTTTTTTAGAAACTTCATCTCTTTAAAAAAAAAAAGCCCAGAACAGTCTCTGCCCAACTGGCCTAAAACCTTGATCTTCTAGATCTGCGCCTCCTGAGTAGCTAGGATTACACAGCATGAGCCACCAGTACTTGTGCTCCTCAGATCTTAGCATCCTGAATAGCCAAGATTGCAGGTGTAAGCCACTGTCTCCTGGTTAGGATAGGGTCTGGCTTCCCATATATGTGCAAGCCAGAACCACATCTGTCTACTTTTTAGATTTCCCAATGTTGAATCACAAACACCTCAACTAGCTTCCCTCCATTAAGAGTCACTTGAATGCCAGGCACCGATGACTCATGCCTAACTACTCAGGAGGCTGAGGATCATGGCTCAAAGCCAGCCCAGGCAGGAAAGTCCTTGAGACGTTTATCTCCAATTAACCACCAGAAAACTGGAAGTGGCACTGTGTCTCAAGTGGTAGAGCACTGGCCTTGAGCTGAAGAGCTGAGGGACAGAGTCCAGGCCCAGAGTTCAAGCCCCATGACCAACAAGAAAAAAGAAAGAGGGGTTGGGAAGGTGGCTCAGTGGTACAGTGCTTGCCTTGCATGCATGAGGCCCTGGGTTCGATTCCTCAGCACCACATAAGCAGAAAAAGCCAGAAGTGGTGCTGTGGCTCAAGCAATAGGGCACTAGCCTTGAGCTGCAGAGCTGAGGGACAGAGCCCAGGCCCGGAGTTCAGGCCCCATGACTGGCAAAAAAAAATAAAGAAAAAAGAAAAATAAAGAAATGCACTGAAGATTACAAATTACATAAATATAAATAAATATAGATCCCATATCAAATGAAACTTTTACTACTTTCTAAGTAGTTTGTAATATCAATTTTGATTGCCTCTTTGAGCTTGGAATTATTTAGTAAATTTCTTAATTTCCAAGTGAAGGCAAATTAAGATTAATTAGACTTTGCCAGAGAACCATGCAGACATCCAGGTACAGAGAACAAAGAAAAGTTTATTGCCAGGAAAGGGGCAGCAAGACTCCTTCCCACAAGGGAGGAATGAGAAGAAGCACCAGCTATTGTCTGGGGTGACATATATAACCTAGGGGGTTTAGGAAGGGCTAGAAGGGGATAGGAGGCGGAAACCCTGGTGTGGATGTGTGGGCCAGGGGCTTCATTATGTCCACTAGGACTTAGGGCTGCTGTCCAAATGGTAGATAAGGGTCCTGCAACTGCCCAGACCTGAAGGTCACGCTAAGGGGCTCTTGTTACCTTATATGGTGGTAGCTGCTCCAGAGAAGTGCCATCCCAAGGTAAAGGTGGCTGGAAGTTAGTTATTGACTGCCTTTACTACATGGGTCTAGTGCTGCCTAGGAAGGGAGCATGCTAAGCTGTGGAGAAGGGAAGGAGTAGACTAAGCTATGGCAAGGGACTCATTTCGCTAACACTCAGTAAGGTAGATTTTTTTTTCTCACATTTGGTAATTTCATAGATTTGTAAGTTATTAGATTATAATAGTAGGTATAATAGTATGGTCTGCAATATGGCAGTAAGTGATAGCTCTATGTTGGTACCTTTATTAAGACTTTCTTGCTGGGAACTGGTGGCTCATGTCTGTAATCCCACTTAGGAGACTGAGCTCTGTGGACTGTGGTTTGAAACCAATCCAGGCAAGAAAGTCTGGGCGCCAGTGGTTCACACCTGTAATCCTAGCTACTCAGGAGGCTGAGATCTGCAGATTGCCATTCAAAGCCAGCCTGGGTAAGAAAGTCTAAACTTTTTTTTTTTTTGGGTCCGTTCGTGGGGCCTGGGCGCTGTCCCTCAGCTCTTCAGCTCAAGGCTAGCACTCTACCACTTAAGCCACAGCACTGGCTTTTTTCTTTTTGCTTATGTGGTGCTGAGAAATCAAACCCAGGGCCTCATGCATGCAAGGCAGGCGCTCTTCCACTGAGCCACCTTCCCAGCCCCCAGGCTGGCTTTGAACCATGATCCTCAGATCTCAGCTTCCTGAGTAGCTAAGACTACAAGCATGAGCCACCGGTACCCGGCTTGTGAGACTCATATCTCCAATTAACCACCAGAAAACTGGAAGTGGCGCTGTGGCTCAAGTGGTAGAGAGCTTGCTTGAGCTGAAGAGCTGAGGGACAGCACTCAGGCCTAGAGTTCTAGCCCCACAACCGACCAAAAAAAAAAAAAATTTCTAAATGACCAATAAATAAATGACTTTTGTAAACATTCTATCCATTTAAGAAGTTGACTTTTAGCTGGGGCTAGTGGCTCATGCCTGTAATCCTCAGAAGGCTGAGTCTGAAGGTCTTGGTTTCCATGAGAATCTTATCTCCAATTAAGCACCAAAAAGGCAAGAAGTAGAGCTGTGGTTCAAGTGGTAGAGCGCTAACTTTAAGCAAAACAGCTCAAGATCAGCACTCAGGCCCTGAGTTTCAAGCCTCAGGACCAGCACAAAGAAAAGAACAGGAAGTTGACTTTTAGCCAGGCAGTGGTGGTTCATGCCTGTAATCCTACTTCCTGAATAAGTTGATATCTGAGAATCTCAGTTCAATTCCAGCCCAGGAAGAAAACTCTGTGAGACACTCTTATCTCCAATTAAACAGCACAAAGCTGGATGTGGAGGTGTGGCCCAAGTGGTAGAGTTCCAGACTAATGTGGAAAAAGCCAAGGGAGAGTAAGAGGTCCTGAATTCAAACTAATACTGGCACACAAAGTTTACCTTTTAAATGCTGTTTTTACCTTTTGTTGGCTTGATTTGCCAGAATTCTGGAAGAATATTAAAGCTTCCTATTGAGCTTTTATTTATTTATTTTTGTAAAGGTTTACATTTCTTTTTTTTTTTTTGGGGTCCGGTCGTGGGGCCTGAACTCTGGGCCTGGGCGCTGTCCCTCAGCTCTTCAGCTCAAGGCGAGCGCTCTACCATTTGAGCTACAGCACCACTTCCAGTTTTCTGGTGGTTTATTGGAGATAGGAGTCTCACGGTCTTTCCTGCCCGGGCTGGCTTTGAACCACAATCCTCAGATCTCAGCCTCCTGAGTAGCTAGGATTACAGGCGTGAGCCACCAGCGCCCGGCGTGATTGTAACTTTTTGTGTATGTGCTAGTCCTGGCACTGGAACTCAGGGCCTGGGCATTGTCCCTGTGCTCTTTTGCGACTGCTTTACTACTTACGCCACTCTACTTCCAGTTTGACATCTCATTGACATTCCTGCCTGGACTGACTTTGAACTGTGATCCTCAGATCCAAGCCCCCTGAGAAGC